TTTTTTTTTATAGACTGCTAAGTTTTTTTTTTTTTTAAGGATTTCATGGACAGGGATCTTTATCTTTGTTTTTTATGGTCTGTCCATAATATTACAGACAGTTGGCAACCCTGAGGATAATTCTGGGTAAATTTCACCTCCTTTGATGTAGTTTACATTGAATAGTCATTGGATAAAATGCTAAAATAGTACTGCAAGTTGTGGTCTGCTGCCCCAGACTGCTGCAGGTGAATGCCCTAACCATTAGGCTTACATGGTCTCGCTCCCTCTTGTTCACTTGCTGGTTCAATGAATACTGAGTTCTTTTCTACAGAGAGGCAGAGCTTCAATGGAAGATATTAGAGAGTGCACTCACCCAGACAAGCATCATAGTTGTGTGGTTGGGGGACAATTCTGGGTGGTAGACAATGGTTGAAGACAGGTTTTCAACCCGGGAACAGTTTTTTGGTACAGATCATTGTAACAGCACCTGCAGATTCTGAGACAGGAGATTTAACCCATGGAAGAAGAGACTTTCCCTAGGGGGTCTAACCAGAGATGATCAGCTTTAAAAATCTGTACCATTTTAGCCATTTTAAATCAATTTGAGGGATTTTTAGGGCTCACAGTGCCCTGCAAGCCAGAACTCATAAACACTAAACTACGTATCATTACAGGTAGAAGGAGAAAAAAAAATCTCAGTAAAATTTGGGTAAAAGTCTAATAGTTTTTCTGTAGTGCATGCAGTGGCCTACTATGGTATATCTTAGACACGGACATTCCATGTGTTTATATTGTATAAATAAAATGGATGTATTTAATATGAATTTGGCACTGGTGAGAGATACTCTACTTGTGGCATCAGGAAACAGAACGGAGAGAACATTGGACAGTGGTTGTGGAAGCTTCCCCATGGCCTATATGCAGTGTGGTTTAGCATGGAGCATTGTGGGCTTTCTGGGAAACAGAGTAGGATACTCATTCCCACTCAATATGTGTCCTTTTTGCTGAGATTGTGAAGAAGGGGTGGCAGTTGTGTTATATATTTTTTGTCTTGGATCCCTATTCATTTTGATGCCACACACGTTCATTACACATTGGCTCCTGAACAGCTGCAGCAACTACTGGCTTTACCAATTGTAGGATAGATTTAAACCAAATGAGAGATGAAAAGTTATTTAGTCCATTTCTCATCCTTTATGTTATATTGAGGACAGGAACACAACATTGTGATATATGTGAAGAGAGCTGCAATATATATATATAGCAGTTATATACCATATGTCATTGTTTTTCCCCTTCTTTTTTAACCTTAGGGTGGAATGTACATGCTCCAGCTTGTGGATACTTATGCAGCCTCTTACTCTCTTGTCATCATTGCCATATTTGAACTTGTTGGGGTTTCATACATATATGGTAAGAAATGAGCAATGTTAATTAATGGCATTTAGGGCTGTATGTATAAAAGGGGTATTGATGGTCTATGACAAATTAGTAAATGGAGTCTGGAAGACCATTTCCTTTCAAATTCTCCAGAAAAAAAAAAGAGTAAAAATTCATCAAACTAAGAAGGGAAAAGTTAGTTTAGGAACACTGTTTAAAATGAAAGGGCAATTCAGGTATGCTTCATTGCTTTAGCATTCCTCTAGAAGCATCTCATCAAATTAACTATACTTCTATAAAATGAACAGTGAGCTGGTTACCATACCATAGTGGTTAATTATGATAAGTGTTATCACTGGGCCTACAGACATTCTAATAAGACATTTAATACAGTCCAAATTTAAGAAGTATGTAGCATATCCTCAGCTGGTGAAAAGCAACTGAGCTCCCTTGATGTCCATACCTTGGTTTGCATTAGCTGAGAATCTGGTCTTGAAAATTATTTAACAGCAATATTTTCAGCATTTTGATTCCTGGACACTGACAAGGTCACACAATGGTACAAAGGAATATTTAACTGTCCCTCCCCAAAAGAAAATGCTCGTCTTAAACTCTTAACATTTCTTCTGTGGAGACACTTGGGGACTTTTTTGAAATTATATAGATAGGTTGCTTTAGGAAACGACCATTCAAACTCAGGATAATGAATATGATAGCAGAGCTTTGCATATCAGGGCTTAATTGTGCTAATGTTATATCAATTGATCACAAATAATCCTCTCATTTTTTATTGAAAAGAACCTCTAAGGTGCACACACACAACTTGATGTTCTCAGGCCACGATCCTGCAAAATTATTTTCATCTGTCACCTGGGTTTACCTGCATTGTAAGATCAGGTTTTTACAGTACAAAGACATTAAGGCACATTGACTTTATGGTAATTGTGGTGCTTGTGGCTTGAGCAATACAAATTATTTAAAAAGGGATGACAAGAAGGGATTCAGGCAAAAGGAGTATAACTTGGGCCACTGAGTATGTTTTATCTCCTGTTTTATTCTGTAAACTTATTGGAAAGTCTAGAGCTGTATTTTACCTGCAAGGACACTCACCCAAATGAAAGGAGTTGCAACCAAGGGCAGTGGTGCTCAACCTTTCTAGCATGTGGACCAGATGAGTGGGGAGCCAGGTCCAGGGCTGTGAACTGCACCCATGCAGTGGGTAAAAGATTGTGCACCATGTCTGACACTGCACACTGGGTCTGGCTTCAATCTGGCAAATGGGTCCATATACAGCAGGGGCTCCCCATGGGTCTAAAAATTTAGCATCAGAGGAACAGTGGCATCACTAATTGCTATGGGGCTGCCAGAGTCTCAGTAGTTAATGCTACCACAACTCCCTCACTGCCAGATGTTCAGATGTTTGGAGACCCCAATGGGCTGGATAACTCAGCTCTGCAAGCTAGATCCAGTTTGTGGGCCATACTTAGAACAACAGTGACCTAGAACGAAACTTTTCTTTGTGACTGGGAAATTTGGCTCACCTGCAGAATGTAAAATGTCATAAAGTGCTAACAGAGCCAGCACTTCAAACAGATCAGATTTTAAATAAAGCTTAGTCTAGACTTGGTTGAGAAAAAATACCAGCTCTTTCTCCATCAGGGTCATGAAGCACCGAGCCCGGCCAGGCAATAGCGGGAGCTCTGGCTCCAGTCTCCAGCAAGAACTGACCTGGCCAGAGCTGTAGCACCAGCTTGCCCAGCTGGTACTCAAATATAAGATGAGCCTCCCTATGCTAAATTGATTCCCTGCCCCCCAACCTCATCTTAGATTTGAGTAAATACAGTATAATTGAAAATTAGAATATGGAGCAAAATAGTGGGTTTTAGGAGCTTTTACCCACTACGTTCTCCACGAGCTTGCTAGTTAAAGTTATGGTAAGGAAGAAGTATGTTTGAACACTTTTTTTCTGGATGAGCCTGTAGGCCAGTAGTGTTAAACGTTACCTGTCATAGTGAAAGCAGTTGTTTATGTAGTGGGATGATGGCATATTGCTCTAAGTCAAAATAAAGTATTATAATGGCAGGCTGTTCTCTTTATATACCCATTGGACTAACTGTAGATGAATTGAAAACTCACAGGATTTGTGGGAAGCTCAACGATAAGATATGTTTATAAAATGTGGATTGCTACTTTGGGCTGAAGTTTATTTTAATGGAAACTATCAAAGAATTCAAAAACAAAACAAAATAAAACATCCTCTTCTCAGGGCATTGTGGTTTAAAAGTTCAGAATTAGGAAGCAGGGCCTGAGCTTGTTTGCTGGCTCCTACTGTAGACTTCCTGGCTGCATTTGGCCATTTGTCAAACTCATTTGTCAGTATTGCTAGTATTAGTTCAGCTGCACCAGAGACAACAAATGGGAACTGGTGAAATCAGGCTGAGGAGTCCTGTCTTATCCACAGCAGGGCAAGTTTGGCGGACACTGGACAGCAGTGTGGTAGGAGCAGCACTGGGCTCTGGCACCTCATCTGTGCCAGCACTCCTCCTGTGCCAGTGTTAGGAACAGTGAATGTGATGTAATATGTATTCAAAGCTCCAGTGTGATCACAAAGAAGTTATTTAGGCTTAGGCTCTCAATAGTGGCCTTTAAACTGGTGTGCCCAGGTTCTCAACAGTAGTCTTTAAATCTTATCCTCCTAAGATTTTAAACACCTGATGCTTTGCAGAGACCAGCATCCATGAGAACAGAGGCATAACAAGCATATTCTGTGGACTGGACAGTGGTAATGGCCAAGCTGACAACAGCAGCAGCTGCCAATCTTTCACCCCCTCCAAGCTGGCATCTGGAGTTGGTACCACGCTGGCTCATCCTTAGTTACACTACTGCATTGACATTGCCAATCCATTATGAGTTTGAATGGTTTTAGATGCCTTTTCCCATTATCAGTCCTAGCTGCAATCCAGCCTTTGGTTGTACACTGTACACCCTCACAGACACATAATGGGTCTCTGTAGAGGCACAGGCTTTTGCTTGTATGGAATCATTTGCTAGGCTGAAACCCATGTGCATTTTTACAAAAATGGATGGGGTTATCAGATGTGGGGTGCTAGTGATTACTGGCTCAATCTGAAACCTTCAAATAGAAAAGCTAGACATGTTTAGGATCATTATTTTCCTCCTGTTTTTTGTGCAAATCCTTCTATAATCTACCTTTTGAGCTTGTCACAAGTGACTTCCCCTGAAACTAGATATTTTATGTGGCTCAAATGAAGTAGAAGCAGAGAATCGTTGAAAAATGGGGCTGGAAGGAGCTCAGGAGATCATCTAGTCTAACTCCATATTCCAGACACAAATACAGACCAAAGACTTCCAGTTCTAGTAGTATCTTGTATGCCATGTCTTGTAAACCTGTAATAATTTCTGTCACTTTCCTTTGGACTCTTTCCAGTTTTAACTGTGAAGAACTTTACTTTCTTTCATCCATATATGCCAGTGCAGAAACAATCTTTTTAAATAAACCAAATAACAGGCACATTCACTGAATAAGGATAAAAAGTATAGTTATTCCTGCTTTGACCACTGAGTGGCAGAAGCATTGTAAATGTGCCCACTCACAGGTTTTGTTCTTCATTTTAAAGAAATGCCATTTTGTGTAGCACTTTGAGTAGCTTATGTATATTTATTTCTACTCATTAACCTTTTTTTTTTTTAAACTAAGCAGTCTTTCATTAGGTAAGAAATCTATTTTTTGCCATTACCAATGATATTTTAAAGACCTGTAAGATATAAATTTCTGGTGTCTGTGAAAGACAAGGATACATTGGTGTTTGTTAGTGGAATATTTGTTCCTTATTTGCCTTCCATTCCTTGAGCACTACACACGGTTCACTGCTTTGTTAAACTTAGTTTCATTTAACCATGGAAAGGAATTTCCCCTTCCCACTTAGGAGGTAAACATTGTATTCTGCAGTGGTCTGAAACTACTTGCAGAATTGTTTTGCAGACCTGAAGTTGCAAATAAAATTATACAGGTTTCAAGCATCTCTGATGCTTAAACAGGATCATGGGGTTATAGGGAAGTAGGGCTGGAAGGGACCTTATGAGTTCATCTAGTCTAGCTTCCTGCTCAAGGCAGGTTTGTCCCTGACCAGACCATCTCAACCAAACGTCTGTAAACCTGATCTTGAAAATTTTAAGGGATGGAGAGTCCACAGCTTCTCTAGGTAGCCTGTTCCAACCTACATTTTCTCTACTACAGCTTGAGTTCATGGCTCCTAGCCCTGTCTCCTATGGCAGCGGTTTTCAGAATTCCTAGTCACGCAAACCTTCAATATCACTTTGTCTGCCAAGGAGCCCCTAACCCTCTCCTAAAGACTGATGTGGAACCAGGTGACTTGGCCTGGCAATGGAGGCACATGGCCTCCAGGCCCCCACTGCCATTACCCCCAAACTCTTTGTAGAGCCCCTAGGCTAGGGACAGACATTCAAAAAGCCTGAGCCTGACTTGATTCAATCTTTGCAGGTTAGTCTAACCTGCAAAGATTGAACCAATGAGGAGGTGGATAGACATTCCCTTTTCATTCCAGAAATTCAGGCACATGCCTGCAGTGGCTCAGGCTAGAAGCCAGGGGGGTGCTAGTGCAGCCCTCTCTTCCCTTCCACAGGATGCAGCTGAGGGGGGCGGTGGGGTGTGGCCAGGCCCCAGCAGGATGCTTTGACCAGCCCAGCAGGGAATTGATAACAGTGTTTATCACCCCTAACTCAGTGTTTATTGCCTCATTAAGAAAACAACAGAGGGACATTACCAGCTACCTGTTGATTCTGCCTTGGTCACAGCACAGACAGGAGCCAGCATGTGGTCTGCTGGTTAGTACACAGACACCTCTCAGCAAGGCAGAGGGGAGGGGGGAATTCCTGCTTAACATTTGTGAGGGGGAGGTGGGGAGCAGTGTGCAAGTCCCTGCTGGAGCTGCAGCCAGGGAGCAGAAGAGAAGGCTCAGCCCTGCTGTGGAGCAGAGAGCCCCACCCAGCCCAGAGAGCATGCTGGGATGTTGGGGGAGTCTTGTTTATTTTAAACCAGCAAGGGGCCTGGGGCAGACATTGCATAAACTGGTTTAAGTCAAATCAGTTAAGTCTGATTACTACTTTCAACCAGGTTTATTTCAAAGAGCTTTCAGCCATTTTCAGACTGGTTTATGTGCATTGAACCTCCGTTCTGTTACAGGTTTTAAACCAGTTTTTGATCACTTATCTGATTTATGTGTAATGTCTGTCCCTAGCCCTAATGATCTGTCACAGAATCCCAGGATTCTGCAAAACACTGTTTGAAAACCACTTCCTTACAGCTGTAGAGGACTGCCCAACTCCATCCTCTTTATAATTGCCCTTCAGGTCTTTGAAGACTGCTGTCAAATTCCCCATCCATCTTCTCTTCTCCGGACAACATAAACCTAGTTCTTTCAGCTTTTCCTCATAAGTCATGCCTCCAAGGTCTGTAATCATTTTTGTTGTTCTCTGCTAGACTCTTTCCAATCTGTCTACATTTATCTTGAAGTGTGGGTCTCAAAACTGGACACGCTACTTCAGGTGGGGCCTTTCCAGTGCTCAGTAGTGGAGTAGAAGAATTACTTCCTTTGATCTGCAAATGACACACCTGTTGATTCAACACAGTATATTTTAAAATGTTTATTTTCTGTGCAAAACAGAAGTATACAAACATGGTTATGTAATACAGGTAAGCAGTTCCACATGAGAGATCTAAATTTTATATAGGATTTTAGCAAAACATAACTGGACATTGAAAAGACCTAGTGGGTAAATCACCATTGATTTACCTGCTTAGAGCATTAGTAGATGATAGGTTAATAAAGTAAAAATAATAGACTATAAGTTATAGAATGTAGCGAATATTAGCACCTAGAATTAATCTCATACCAGAACTATTGGAGTCTCACTTTTGGTAGCACTAGAAATAAAGGACCCTTGTCTTGCAACCCTAACTCACTTGAATAGCTAGCTAGGCTGAAAGAGGGCCACTTTTGCAAAGAGTTCTTCAGGAGTAAGTGCTGCAGCGTTCATGATTAGCACTCAGAGAGGTGGATCTACCTCTGCATTCTTATTTCATTTGTGTATTTCTTCAAACAGTGCTTTAAATTGGTGCAATATATTTTTTGAGCTCAGACAATTGCTTGTTTTACACTCCACTGACACCTTTCTCTATTGTACTCTTCGAAACAAGCAGATCTGCACTGTACCAGACAGGAGCTTTTATGATGGAATAAATCTGTCTGTAGCTCTTGTTACATGTTCTGCTTGCTGAGCTCATCGAGATTTTTAAATTAAAAAAAAAAAGACTTAGTTATTTTCTTACAATCACTTATTTTTTTCATTAGAGCTAGTGCTACATAATCCAGTCAAACACCATCTTGTGTTCTACGAGCCCTGCACAGACATTTATTCTCCACTTCTTTAGATTATGGATGTGCAATTAATAAATAGTGGTTTAGGGCTTCGCGCATTAATTTCATCGTCTACATAATTCCCATTGGCATGTTTTGTAACCTGAGGCCAAATACAACACTGCTAGAGCTGAGTGAAATACTGCAAAATGCTGTCTGAAGTTTGAAATGAAGTCCCTTCAATTTAATTTGTGCTCCTTAAATATGTTTTCCTGTCAGAAATGCAGCAAAGAAGTGTATTGTCAGGAGTGCTCAGCAACATGATGAACTGTGACTCCTGCAGTATATATTCAGACAGTAAATTTTGAATTTCTCATTGTGAGCACTTTTGTTTGTAGATACTTCCATGGCTTTCTTTACCACACTGTACTCCCCACACTTTAATAGATTTTCACCATCACAACACTTTTGTGCGCATACAGACTTCCCGTCATTTTTAGTGATAGGGATTTGAGACAGGTGGGTAGATTAAGAGAACTGCCCAGAGTCACATATGAAATCCTTGAAAGAGCTCAGAATCAAATCCAGTTCTCCTGAGTCCAAGTCCAGTGTTTAATTCATTAGAAAATCTTTTCTATTTTTATTGGAAACGAACGTACAAAGAAAACAGACAAGTAGCATATGACTCCTCTGTCCACTCTAGTGTGCTTGATTTCTGAGCTGTTATTGCTTGTAGCTATACTTGAAGTGAAGAGTGTTTGTGAGCACTCCAGAGATAACAGAAAACCTTAGACGAAGATTTTCAGATGAATTTGTATAGATTTCGTTCACAGGCAGTTTTGAAGACAGAAAATGGATAAAGTGAATTTACTATTAAGTGACTAATTTATTAGTCTATTACTCTGTCATCTATGTCTATGCAGCAGTCAATGCTTGTGCTACTATGCTGTAGACAGGGATGGAACCTGGGGGGTGCTGTGGTACAATTCCTATAATTCCTGGTCCACCCAAAGTTCAAACCTAACAGTGGCAGCAGCATTTCTATTCAGGCAGCAGTGAGGGTGTCGCTTAATTTCACTGCTCATTTTAATCTACCTCATTCCTTCTAAACTCTTCATTCCACAGTTGTTAATGACCCTCTCTCTTTTTTAATGGTCTCAGTGTTCCCCTAACTAAACTATCCTTTCTTTTTGCATTTCTGTAGTCTTTTAGCTACTTGTCTTAATGTAGCTCCTGTTTCCACAGCCCTGCAGACTGTTAACTCTAAAAGCATTATTTCAGGTGTGGAAATATTAACTTAGGCAAGCATCAATTTTGGTGTGGAAATAACTTCCAGTGAAGCATTGGATGAACTGATTAGATGCTCAAAAAAGCTAAATTTTGTTTTGTGAATCTGAAAGAGATGTACATTTAATTCTAATGACAAGAGACCTAAAGAAACAACATCTTTTGATTATTTTTGCTTTTTTTGTTGTGTTTTTACATAATGTATGAAATAGTAAATGAATGCACATTCCAATAAAATTATATTTTTTTCACTTCAATCTTGAACTCCGTAATATAGCCCTAGGCCTCTACCATATTAGTAAAGCTTCTAGTTCCTTTTTACCTGGAGCAAAATGTGTTGTGTTATATGTGATGTACCACAGCACCTGTACCCCTGCCCCCCTTCAAAATTCTACATCTGCCCATGGCTGTAGATAAACTTAAATTGCTCCCTGCAAATATTTCACAAAGCTTTAGTAGGCAGGTAACAAGACAAGAATATAAAATACTTAGGGTCAAATTGATAACTTCAGCCCATTTTAGCCAGGGCTTCAATTATCTCATTGACTGCAATAAAGGCAAAATTAAGCATGTGCTTTAGTCCTGTGATACAGCAAGTATAGGTAGTCAGACTGAAATGCAAAGGTAAATGCTTCTAGTCATAGGACATTTCTAGAACCCATTTCTATCTGAGGAGAGGGGTTTAACTATTAGCAACTAGGGCCAAGAGAAGGAATGCTTTTTTTATCAAAGGCATGTAAGGAAGGAGGAATGCAGTTAAAATAGGAGGTGTAAGTCCCAGTTCTCTCGCTTCCTACCAGACTCAGAAGCACAGAAGTGACTTACTTTATTGAGTTCTGAGGTGGATATTCTTGTTCCTTTTGGATTAATAGTTAATAGATATGTCCTTGTTTTATAGCAATGTGGTTCTCTGTTAGGAAACATCTGTTACTGAGCATGGACAGTTTACTTAATGGTAAATGGGCATGCTGAATGGTAGTGAAAAGTCACTGAGCCAGATCCTTAGCTGATGCAAAGCAAAGTAACACCACTGAGCAGATGGCTTGAAGTGGGAACTACTCAGCTAGTTTATGCTAGCTGATGAGCTAGACCAGTACAAATCGGACAGAAGGTCCTTACTAAGCATAGAGAATTTCAGTAACAAATGAGAAAAGCTAGCTGGCATAGCAGGCTGTCATATAAAAGATTATGTCCTACATAATTTGAGAAAACAGAGGGATAAATTTCTAAGTGGCCACAACTCTGTCAATATCAAGGGACCAGAGCTTAAATGACTATGGCTCATACCTTTTTCTACTGTTGATTGACTTATTTACTAATCTATATTAAATGGGATGTAGTGCATTATCTTGATAAGAAAGAACTCAAGTTCTTATGTCACTTTTCTGCATTCTTTAGTGAAACAAGCACCTTTTTCTCTCTTTCATCATTATCGCCTTCATCCTTCCCTGTGTTTCCACATATTTACCTAAAACGTTAATGAAAATGTGTAATATCAAAAAATGTTGGGGAAGAGTCTCATTGATTAAAATTAATATATTTATGATGATTCATGCCATATTTTAAAATATAGTCAGCCTACATCTGTTCTCTCTTTTGACATCATAAGCCATCACATCTCCAGATTACCATAAGTGTACAAAGAGAATAGATTTAAGAACCGGTCAGACTTTCAGTTGACGAGTTGGTAGCCTTCAAAATTCCTGGAATCCATGTTGCGTATTGAAAGAAATGATCAATTCCACTCAACTTCCTCTAAAGAACTATAGTCCCTCTGGGACTGTAGCGGAAGTTGAAGGACTAATAGGTAGGTCATAGAGTTGTCTATTTTACCTAGCTCAGATATGCACAAGTTCTGAATCCTAAACTCTGCAGAAGAAACAGCTTGCTCATTCACGTTTGCAGTTAACTAAAGAACTGTAAAAATGCACCTAAACGAAGAGAAGTTTTAAACTGACAAGCCAGACCATAACTGGACATAAGGGAGATCAGGGAAGCTATTTTGCAAACTCTAGCCAGTTTCTTTCACCTCTAATTATATTTTTATTTGTTATTTACAGGCTTGCAAAGATTTTGTGAAGATATAGAGATGATGATTGGATTCCAGCCAAACAAATTTTGGAGAGTCTGTTGGGCGTTTGTAACCCCAACCATTTTAACTGTAAGTAAAAAAAATGTTTTTGAATGCTTCCAGTTTTCATTAAATTTTATTTAAATTTTGCATGTCATGTACTAAAAGTTAGTGTTTGTTGATTGAAAGTTGTTTCCCAAAGAGAAATAATTATTAAAAATATATACCCATCAATCTCATATGGGTGTATTGGTACGGATTTATACAAACTGTGCATATATAATATAATTTATATGATTCTACAGAATGATCTCAGGTAGATTTGGGTTATTCTTTTGAGGAGGTAGTAAATTCACCATAAATGTTGGTCAGGGACAGAAATGATTGGCTGATTTGTGCTGGATTTGATGAAGTTGGCTGCAAAAATGGTGAAAAAATTTTGGAGAAGTACAGACATTTTGTTTTAAATTTTTCTAAATGAGGTGTTGTGAAATTTCTTTTTCAAACAGTGTTTTTTGTTTCAAAATTGACTTAAATATAAAGAAGGTTAGTTTCAAGTGTTGAAAGACAAAACTGAAAAAAATCAGTTGCAGATTGTTTGACCCGAAACATACATATTCATGGCCTGTGCGAAGTGGCAAGTATTCGCTTCGGATTCGGATTCAGCGGGACAGTAATTTGATTCAGTGATTCAAATCACTGTTCCAGTTGGATTTGGCTGAATCCGAATCCATAGACTATACAGGCAGGCAGTGCCGGTGGCAGCAGCTGGGGGAGCAACCAGATGAGCCCTGGCTTGAGCTGGCAGTCCCAGGAAAAGTTGTGGCTTGTCTGGCTGTTCCCCCAGCTGCCCCCCCCCCCGAGCAAAGCAGGCAGTACTGGCAGCTGTGGGAGAAGCCGTGGGGGTTGGAGGGAATGATCAGGGAGTTGGGGGATCAAACCAGGAACTGGGGAATTGAACCGGGAACTGGGGAGAAGCCCCTGTTCATTTCCCCCACCCTCAATCATTTCCCCCAGCTCCCTGATCATTCCCCCAGGCCCCACGGCTTCTCCAGGGGCTGCCAGCACTGCCTGCCTCGCCCTGGTGAGGGGGCAGCTAGGGGAGCAGCCGGGGGAGCCACGGCTTCTTCTGGGGCTGCCGGCTCAAGCCGGGGCTCGTCTGGCTGCTCCTGCTGGCACTGCCTAGTGCTTGCTGGTACAGTCTATGGCCAAATCTCTGAATCTCTCTGAAATGATTCAGAGGCTTCTGATTCAATCTGAGGAGATTAATGGGTCTCCCGATTCGATTTGGATTCAGATTTGGCCGCTGAATTGGGCCAAATCTCCTCTGAATTGAATTGGCTACTGAAGTTTGCACAGCCCATATATATATATATATATACGCTCGCACACAATTTTAAATTCAGTTTTTACAGTCCTATTCACTAGGGCAACACCCATTGCCTTCTCTAAGACTAAAGAACTAAAAACATGGACTTGGAATTAGAAAAGCACTTAAAATGGACTTAACTTCTTTGGAAATCAATGCTAACTATGTTAATGTTATGTATGTATTTAAATGCTTTATTTTTATATCTCAAAATCTTAAAATAGATCCATAACCGAATTAATGCTCTGCTGAACAAGAAAAGGCTTACACCTATATTTACTATACTGAAGTCTCAATATGAAACCCAGACTTATTGATGGGTAATGTGGGTGTATCCAGCTCTCTGATGACTGATGGGGCAGCATTTCTATTTTTTATCTACTATTAGGTTTCTTTTCTTTGGCTCATAGTAAATCAGTAACAATTGCTCTACTTCACTTGAAGATACACATTTGTGCCCAAAACATTCAGTTCTAGTGAGTTTCCACTTCTGCCTGCTCTTCTGTATGAATTACACTTGGGAACTACAAAATGCAGTATACCAATATTAGATTTAGTATCTTTCTTTTTCTAGTACTTGAGCAAACAAGCCTCTACTTACAGTTATTGAAAGTCAGGTTTCACAGTGCCAGTAGGTGTCACTGTATGCTAGTAGTTTGCTTATATTTGTAATGAACCTTAGGTTCATTTATCTTGCAGGAAAAAGTCATATAATTTTTCCCCTAGTGTCAAGGTCAGTGTGGAAACTAGATTACCTGCATGGTCTTCATTTATTTTCTAAATAGGGGTATATAAGAAAATTACATACCTTATTTTTGTAACTGCATAACCAAACTAATTTTCTTTCATGCCTCTGTATAATTTTAGATCTGCATTTATTTTAAAAAAAAGAACACATTTTAAAATGGGTAAAGGAATATTTTCCATCTGCTGTTAAAAATAGGAGAGCCTCACACCTTCATAGCATGGTCCCTCAGCTGGAACCTTAGCACATACCTCATTTCCTTTTCAGTCCATTTTCCTTATGTTTGCTGTGTATTGGCACAGAAAAGAAGGAATCTGTCTTTGATTCTAAATATTCTGGTTTACTACTGAGTGAAAACAGGATGGTTAACAGTTTGAGGCCAGTATATACATCTATCACACAATTGTCTTTCATACTGAATGGCTATTGACCTATACTACAACATTGTGAGGCTATTTATCAATGTTTGTACTGTTTTTTTTTTTAAAACATAATATACTACAGAAGTGTTAAGGATTGTGGTCTGGTAATGCAAATGAAAAATTATCACTAGAATTTCTGGAGGAATAAAACACATGTATTATCCAAGAAGGAATAGCTCTCATGTCCAGCTCTTGTAAGGTCCTGACCAGCTGAGATCATTACGAGGTGTTCTAGCACTCTTCAAACCTTCTTTCCTATAAAAAACTAAAATACAATTTGTGTCATTCTAGAGCTGATTGAATAACCGCAGTCAAAAAATCTCTTTTTTAGGAAGGAAAAAATGATAATTTTGACTAAACAGACAGATAGTTTCACAAAAATAGTTCCAATGCTAGTGAAAGAAATGGGAGTTAATATTGCCACATTTATTTGCTGAAATTTGGGAAATTTTCAGCGTTGAGAGATTGTTGATTTCTTGACTAACTTGAAAATCTTGTCACAGCGATGAGTTTGTGTTTATGGAAACAAACTGATTTCCAGGCAATTCTATGTAATACCATTCTCTCTCTCTCTCTCTAGCTGTCCATTCTTACTTTTCTGTCTTAAGCTATGTGTTGGGTTCCTATATATGGAAAAAACAACAGATTTCCATGTCAGTTGGTGGCTTCATTTTATTTGTGTGGTTCTGCTATATAGTTTCAGATTCAATATGTGGCCCTGCTTAATTTAACATACAGTCTGAATTACATACAGAAAACTGATTTTCCTCTTCAGATTTAGCAACCTCCCAGATAAAACACTATTTGTCATCCTTGTTCTCTTTGCTTTGCTTTCTCCATATTTGAGAACCTGTACCACCATTATTCTTCTGCAGAAATAATTATTTTTGTAATTGACCAGTGTGATTTGTTGAAAAAATACTTCTTTTTTACGGCCATAGATGTATTTGGCTGCTGTCAGAAGTGAGAGCCAAGGAGCAATAGCTGGATCTTGGACTCCTGTATGGTCTTTTGTAGCACATTGCAAACAAACCATGAGTCCATCTCAAGCCCCTACGTTTTACTGTTCCTGTCGATCAGCCAAGATAAAGTGTTTAGATTCAACTTTTTAATGAAAAATGATTTTATATTGATCAGGCATGATGAAATTTTTATGAAATGAAAAAAAAAGAGTGGAGAAAAGTGAAACAGCATCTTTTTCCATTGTGGTCTTCTGTAAAACTAATATTTGATGGATCTGAGTAGTTTAAGATCAGAGTTTTAAATTACTTCATGGTCCAAAAAATAAAATTGATCTTTTTATATTTGCCTTTTCAGAATTATATTACTATATGTCTTCTGCATGCAATTGGGTAGTTCACAAAAGTTATTGAATTATGTACACGTGTACTGTTATTTATGAAGTGAAATGTATTAATTACACTGGGTAGTGCTGGTAATAGACTGTGTAATAAAGCTTATACTCTAGGGAAAAAGCTTTAATCTTTGTTCGTCTAGTGTTGTAAATCTAATAATTTCAGTGGTTTTTATGTAAGGTTTACATGGATGAAACTGAGCTCAGATTCTGAACCCAAATTTCCAGTTGTAGTGATTATTGCATAGGTATCATAGTTGCATATTGTAGCTTGTGTGCAGTTGTATACTGTCCTAATTTTAGGTCTACAATATTAGAGCAAAATGTGTGTGTTACCACCTGTCATGAATTGTATATTGAGTATTAAAAGATATTTTCTTTCCTTTCAGTTTATTCTCTCCTTCAGTTTTTACCAGTGGGAACCAATGACATATGGAGCTTACCACTATCCTGGCTGGTCCATGGTACTTGGATGGTTGATGCTGGCCTGCTCTGTTATTTGGATTCCAGTTATGTTTGTAATAAAAATGCATCTAGCCCCTGGCAAATTTATTGAGGTAATTCTGGTATCTTTTCCCTCTTAAAAATATGGTCACAGGAGATTGTTTCCTTTTATTTTACACTGATTTGTGTGATGGGAACTGTTGACAATGAGAGGACTGTTTACTAGCAAACTTGCTTTTATAATGCTACAAAGTAGAGATGCTTAGCTTGTCAAAATGCAGACCGAATACTCTTCTGTGCCTCAATAAAATGCAACTAACTCACTAATGTCTTGGTTCTGTGAGGACTGAATAAACTCTGACCTTCATAGGCATCAAAATGGTGTCACATGCAGATGATTTAATCACAGTTCTTTCCTTTGCTTTGCTTGTGACGTTTTGCTGAAACCATGTTAAACATGAAAGCATCAGGCATTAGAAATCATTAAAGAGGATTAGTGAACTCTGCAGAGTAAAACACTAGTATGTGCCAGTCATTAGAAGTCTTCAGGTCCTGTAAAATGCTATAGACCATCAGATATCATGCAACTCCAATGAACCCATTGTAACTTGCTTCCCTTTCAGACGCTAAAACCATCTCTCATGCTAGCAACTCATACCATATCATTCATTATCCTTAAATCCATTTACCATCTTCCCTTTACTGTCTGGTTAAATTCAGTGTTCTTGTTCTCTCCTTGAGGCTTATCACAATTTTGTGTATGTATCTGCTAGAGGCAAGCATTTCTTAGGGCAATATCTTTTATTGGACCAAGTAGGTAACTGGGATAAAATTAGACAATCTTTTGAATATGATACATTCTTCAAGCCTCTGATTATAGGAAGCTGGGTACAGTAAGTGCCTATGTATCTGCTCATTTCATGTATCTCCCTATTCCGTGTGTTTCCTCACATTCTCATCTTTGTATCTTCTTTCATTCTGCTCCCAGTTTCCTGGTTCTCTGTTCCTGTTCTTATTCAACAGGAATCTACCTACTTGTGCTTCCAAATCCCTCTTTCCAATTCACTTCTGCTGGAGACCCTGCAGAGGTTGTTACACTCCCATAGGAACTGAGAAGAAATATGTTAAAAAAGAAACATTTTCTTGATCATACTATATGCCATTTAGGACTTTGCTAATATTTAAGGTGAAGGTGTTTAATATTAAGTGATGAAATATTCTATGGCAGTGGTGCCCAACCAATCTAGCCCTGTGGGCCAGATGGGTGGCATGGAACCAGTCTGTGGGCTGTATCCAGTGTGCAGGGCTGGTCTGTGGGTCCAGTCTGGTGAAGGAGATCACATCAACTAGCCTGCAGAGCTTCCCCTGGGTCCAGAAATATGGCAGTAGGATGGGTGGTGGCAGTATTAATTGCTGTGGTTTCAGGAACCAAGGTAATTAACATGGCTACTGCTCCATCACTGCCAAATTTCTATCCCCATGAAGAACTGTATGGGCCAGACAGCTCTGTGGCCTGGATCTGGCCCTCAGACCACATCTTGATACCCCAACACAGAATGCATATGGCGGTGGTCAATTGTATAGCTTGTCCAGAGGGCTCTGTGACCTTGTATAGAGGATACTGAAATGATTTAGCCAGTAGAAAGACCATCCTATATAAAACAGTGAAGCAGAATGAAATTTGATTTATTTATTTACATTTTCTAGCTCAGTTCTAGCATCAGGCTGTTGGGCTTCCTTGGAAGTGAGCAATGCCAGGACTGGCATTTCTTTTCATAAGGCAATAAATTAGTTTCCCTCACTGATACATCCTACTCGGCTTCTGGCCTCTGTTTATTCACCTGGGATTGGATTATATATGGCTCATAATCCAGGGCGCTCTCTGTACGGTCCCTGAACTAGAGCACCCAAAGAAATGCAGAAAAGTCATATTTGTTTTGAAGTGGGGATACAGTTTAGCTGCCGCTATTCAAGCTTTAACACAATATTTCCTGAACTACTGAGTCTGCTGCATAAATTTATTATGGTTGATTTGGGAGGTAAAGGTTGCAAACTGGTAATTAAGCAGAGATTGAAATAACTGATATAGAGGCTTGATCCACTTTAATAGGTAATAAACATATAATTGTTCCCTCTTAACCCATTGAAAATATGTTTTCCTTCCTTTCTATATATAAATGCTCCAATAAAATTATATCTTCAATAGAGACATCCATGGAAAGATTAGCAAGATTTTCATTTTTTAACTTTGCTATGTTAAGTCACTACTTTTTGCTTTTTCCTTTTTAGATAGAAATGAAATATTTTGTCATCTGATAATTAAAATCTTTGCTCATTCATTGCAATGCACTGCTTTTTGGTCGTATGTATGCTTTGGGGAAATATGCTAAACAAAAATCCAATTATTTTAATGCAGCTACCCACTGCTTAGATGATTGGGCTAAGTAATTGAGCACATGTCCTTTGGTGAATGAGCCTGGCGATCTGTGGCAGTGGTTACAAGTTCCCTTCATATGGTGTGGGGAGAGGATGTATAATTAAAATCTGTGCACTTTATCCTCTGTTAATCTTGCAAACTTGTGCAAAACAAACACTGAGCAGCAGAGCATTGCATGATGTTGTCTATAATTTCAAATGAACCCGGCTTAGTTTCCTTTACTGAACTGTAATTCCGCTTGGTATTTTAAATGAGATTTACTTTTTCCTTCTCTTCCACCCCTTAACCCACCATCATTTTGCAGAGGCTCAAGTTGGTCTGCTCTCCACAACCTGACTGGGGCCCATTTTTGGCTAAACATCGTGGTGAACGTTACAAGAATATGATTGATCCATTGGGAACTTCCTCCCTGGGACTTAAACTGCCAGTGAAAGATTTAGAACTGGGGACCCAATTCTAGTAATTATTATATTGGTGGCAATAATATATACAGCCTTTATCTTATTTTTCTTTTACTAGTTTCCTGATGTGTCTTTTGTAATTTTTCACAGTGCCTGAAAGTGGTTGCTTAGAAAGTAGGACTTATTGTCGCATGCCATAGTAAAGATCTAGACAGACCACTTTGAGTACTGTGTAATGTGTGTGAGTGTGTGTGTTCTTTTTTTCCTAGTGGTGCCCACAGCTTTTTATTTTCACCGTGACAGGGCAATGTGGCACACTCCAACTTTTTCCAGGTCAGGCCTAACCTAACAGGCCTGGGCACTGTGATTTAAGCATTTAGGTAGGGATATGGCTTCAACCAACATAGGACTAATTCTGCTCTTTTGCACCCAGGGTCCCCTGTTGTAACATGTAACCATAATGGGACTGATAATATGTTATCAGGGTAACCAGAGACCAAGGGAATGAGAACAGAATGTGGTTTGTATGGCCATATTCTGACCTCCTTAATGTTGATGTAAAACTAGGGTGACTTTGACCTAAGTGGAGTCACTTAGATTTATGCCAGGCTCAAAATTTGACCCACTCTGTCTGCAAAAATTTCTTCTATAAGCACTGATTATACTGACTTCTGGGCCTTGAGACAACATTTAAACAGTGCACTGGTATGTGATACATGGCATCAGAATAGAAAGGACTTAATGAGCCATTCAATATTTTTGAGCAAAAATATGAAAGCAAATGTAAAAACTGAATATTTGAGATTAGGACTAAAGCAGTATTTGAGTCTGAATACTGATTTGAAATTATGCCAAGTACAGGCAGATGGGCACCACTGTTTTAATTAATTTCATGCATTTCCATTAATAATTTGGTATTTGTCTTTTTCATTAGCAAATGTCTCAGTTATACGGAGTATCTAAATCTTCGTTTCACTGGCAAACTGAATATACGATAAGTGCAAATGCAGTTTTATTCGTGCCATCCAAATACTCTGAATGTGGTTTCCATGCTTTCTCTGCTTTTGTTTACAATCTCTCCTCAAGAAGCCATCATATAATTTGTGCCTAATTTTATATTCTTACAGTAGTAGGTATATTCGAGTTTCCACATGAGAACAGTTATTAGAACTTAGCCGTGCTGTTTAACTACGCGATTCCCCTATTTGTTCTCTTATAAACTTCTTTATATAACTCATAGATGTATTCTTCTCTTTCAACCAATGGGGAAATAGTAAGACCCCAAATTGTCTATATATTATATATATATATAGCGCACAAATTTTTCAAAGCACTATTCTCTCATAACAATCTGAATGTATATAGCCTGCCTGCCTTTTTTTGCTGTCAACCCCCTCATTAAAAAACGAACAATATAACACTGAAGTCACTAACACAGTTGCAACCTTAGATAGACAAAACAATAAAGAGGAGAAGGAAGAGCTTAGTAGATTGCCATTATAACAACTTACATTACCACACTACCTTCTAAACCACCGCATTTTAGAAATCCAAGATATATGAAGAACAATATACGAGTATTAGTCTTAAACAGTTCTGTTACCTAGGGGGCAGAGTAAAAATAGAGCTTTTACGGGTACATTTAATTACCTGACTAGAAATTACCCCCATTTATTGTAAATGCACTAGAACGAGGGAGAAAAATATGTCTTCAATAATTGGCAAAACTGTAACCTTTATTATCCTGTTGTAGCCTATACATACATATATGAGATTTTTTTAAGAGTGATCAGTGTTCATGTAGTGTGTACTAGTGATGTTTTATGTCCCTATAAATATCTTATCAATCAGTGTAGAGATGGTGAGTTTAGATTAGCTTAGCCTGTTTTTTTCCCCCACTGCTGTAGTAGCCAATCTAAATGTACTTTCCTTTTAGGGGACTGTTTATGTCACGCTCTTATTTTGTCTGTTAGTCTTTACATTACAGGGTCTCAGGTAAATCTTCAGTTAATGTGTCAGTAGATCTATAGATGTGATGTTTTCATCCCATCAAAGAAAAAAACAAAAAACAAACTAGACCTTAATGTAACATTTTCAAAATAATCATTTAGTGTGTGTGTGTGTGTGTGTGTGTGTGTGCGCGCGTGCATGTGTGTATATACAAAAGTATATTAAAAATATTAATCATTTTGCTGAACTTTATCTTTCACGGGGCAAATAGTGTTGCCAGTTATTGACACTGCTGGAGATACTCAATCCTCAGGCAGTACATATGAAGCACAATCAAATGATTTGTCATTAAATGAAGTCAAAATAGATTTAAAAATAGTCTGTTACCACCCCTTTACTCTGCAGCATGCTCCCTTTAGTTTGGGGTCCTTGTCAGACCCTATGTCGTGTAGAGCATGAAGACTGTGACCCTTCCACGAGCATCTCTGCCTTAAAGCTGTGCCAAATTGATTTGCCTTTGCCAGCTGTTTTAATAGAGAGCTGCTATTCCAACTCCTTCTGGGTTTTGTTTCCCTGAGTGAACTGTGTTTGAGAAGCTACCCCTGGCTTGACATAATGAAATTTAATAAATACAATCTGAAAATTAGCCTCTCCAAACACCCATGGCTGAGGGAAAGAAATCTGTAATATACTAAAATGAATTACCAGCAAGCAGTCTTTCCAACTGGAAGGGTGAAAAAAAGAACCTAAATTAATTAGCACCACCTAGTGGGAATCATGCGTTTTCATCAGGATGAATAGATTTTGGATTCATCTTTACTGGATAAAACCTAAGTTTGATTTTGGAGCCCAACCTATTTTCTACTAATTACTGCTGTTGTGACTTTTAAAAATATATATTGTTAATATTGTCAGGTTTTTATTTTCTAGGGACTGTGAGTTTGCTTAATAGCTGTGAATACTTTTCACTGGCTGGGTTATTCTTTCAGAAGACGCATTTGTTTGAACTGAGAGTAACTATCAGTATAAACTGGTTACTGCCAAAGTACAAGGACAGTCCTTGCTTGCATAAAAGATCTGTCATTTAAATGGACACTGTTTAGTTACAATATATCCCCACCTATGTCACTACTAATAGTTTAAGTCATTGGGGGCTAACCTTTTTTTGGGCAGGTGTGCCACAAATTAGCCCAACGCCCTTCCCAAGTACCATTCCTCTGCCTGCTCAGATCCCTGCCCTGTGTTCCCTGCCTCATCTGCTGCTCTGTTTTCTGCTTGCTGTCCTCTCTGCTACTGTGCTGCTTGTCCCCTCCCCAATCTGTAGAGTGCTCCACACACAGGCTGCCTGTGCCAGTTGTGGCATGCATACCACTAGTTGGCCACCTTTGGCTTAAGTTATTAAAAGGAGTGACCATGAAAAATCTAAATTAGTTTTCCTGATGCTTTTGGTCAGACTAGTTTTTATTTCTCAGGCTTTGGTCCTGCTCCTATTGAAGTTAGTATTACAGGGTTTGGTCTTCCATTGGAACTTTGAAAATAGGCTAGTCCGTCTCATTTTGCTTCTAGCCAGTTTTGCTTCCAGGTTCTTCTGTGCCAGGGTTTGGCTATCAGAGATGTCAGGGGCAAATTAAATAAATGCAAAAACATAGAATCAAAACTGTGAAAAGAGTGGAAATGTTTCTGTTATAGTCTTAAAATGTTTTCTACACAATTTACCAAAACAAAATGTTGAGCTGAAATTACCCAGCAGCATCCTCTGCAATGAAAAGTGGTGTTATAGTTGAAGAAAGCATTTAATTTCTCAGTCTAGTATTGTTTGCAGAAACTTTTTGTGCATTTTCTTAAAAAAAAAAAGAAAGAATTTGAGTAACACTGAGTAAATGCCAGAAAATATGTTTAAAAGAGCAGGGAAGAAAAGCCATATTTGCAAAAAAGGTGACCTATATATAGTCTATCGGTTTTGCAAGTAAAAAAAAAAAAAAACAACAAAAAAAAAACAAAACAAAAAAAAATCAGATCTGGTGAGGATTGTCTTTATGGCCTATTTTTTGTTTGAAATGAGATTGAATTTTTGGACAAGCTGTGATGCACTATTGTATGCATTAAAATTACATTTAATGCAAATCCTTGCCATTTTAAAATTCTTTGGGGTCTTCCTAGTGTTTTTAATATGCAAGCAATGTACAAAACCTGTGTTTCAGTTAGACACAGCAGCACTTTGTTTCGAAAAGAAAGGTTTAACAAAATGACCTTTAATTGAAAAAGACTTGGAATGTCTTTATGCTAATGTTTCATTTGGGTCAAGTTATCCTTTTATTAGGTTCTGCTCCACTGATTGTATAAATGTGCTTCAGCACTGAAGATCATCATTTCCAGTTTACTGTGGTTTCCTCTTGCTATGGAATTCCATTTCCAAGTCCTTTTATATATTATTGGCCTCCTTTTGGACACTTGTGCAGGAGTTCCCTTCTAGTTCTATGTTCCTTGTGGCTTATAATGATTTCATGCTGGATGTGATATAGCCATTGCTTATTTCATGCAGTCATTGATTTTTCTCGTATGTTGTATCCCTTTTATTTTACAATCTGAATTTTAGAAAGACTCTTATGGACTGCTGATGCTTTCAGCTGAAAGCTGTATGGCTATGCCAAGTGTCGCTCCCAAATAGGATGTATGTTAGCTAGGCTTTCTAAAAGTTGCCAGGAGGTCTGGTGGGTGTATTAGACACTTGTTTCTTAGCTTGTAGTTAAAACTTCCTGCACATAATATATTGTATCTGTGAAAAGGCCAGAACTTACTGTTCCAGGGAACTGGTACCACAGACACAAAGGGGGGAAAACATTTATGGTACTTATGGTTTCTGCCTGTATATCATCCTCAGGCAGCCTGTAACCAAAGAGGGAGTGTTTTTTTGATGGGTTTAATTTAAAATGTGAGAGCTGGGCTGGACCTTATTGCTTGCGATATTATGATTTGCCCATCATGTTTTAAATACATCTTCAGGTAACCATTTGCCTTATAGGTGTATTTCATTGTTAGTAATATATTAATGTTTGACTAGACTATATCATTGTCCGTCATCTCTGATATGTCATGTACTTTGTGAGGTAAATCCTTAGCTGGTATACATTGCTGCAGCTCCAAAATGAGCTATGACAGTTTACACCAGTTGAAGATTTCCACCCGTGTCCTTTTGGCACTTTATTGTGGACCTATCACTGAATAGGTTAATTCTTAATTACTTGCGTAATGTCATATATATATTTACAGGCATTCTATGGGGTACTGCTGCCTATGGATAAAGATATGTACCCTAATCAGGTCATTATATTTTTTTCATTAGCTATACATGGAGAAAATATATTATGTTACAAAGGATGCATTGTATATATAGCACATATTATATGCTGTACATTATTCATTTAAGGAGTCATTATTCTTGAGGCCCTACCTCAGATTTTGTATTTATGTGTATAAATGCAATTTACTGTATTATATATTTGCCTATTATATTCTGATGTGATAAATTAGAATTTATCCTATAACGTATGGGTTCTAAAACACTAAATAAATGTCCAGTGTTTAAAACAAATTATGGTGTTGGCATTGTCTATTGAAAATATCCCTTCCTCCAACCACAAACATCATTCTTACTTAACTCAGAGCCTTAAGGTAGCTGCAGAATTGATCCATTTGATTGTTAGAAACCTTGAGCAGCAACTGAAAACAGCTCTCTTGGGGAAAAGGAGATATTGCACAGCTGCAGAAACACATATCAATTAAATGGTTAGATTCTTAACTCTTAGAAAACTCTGTAGCTTGTTGAATAATTAATTACTTATCAAAGGGCCAACTGGATTTGCTTAAATCTTTTTATTGTATTAAATCAAATCTTTTATTGTATCCAATTAATTTTGAACCACTAAAAATTCTGCATGGAAAACAATTGATACTGAGTGATGGAGAGGAAAGTATGTGTGAAAGAGAAAAAGAGAGGGGGCGGAAGGTGTGGTGGGGAGAAAGAGAGAGAGAGATTGAGCAAGAGAGAGAGAGATGTGCAATTAAAGTGAAAGCATTGGACAGGTTTCTATGCCATTTGTGCCTTCCATTTAAAAAGCTAAAGGAGTTTACTGATTGCAATGAAGAGAGGTGAACATACTGCAACAAGCATACTGTAATGGACTCTCATTTACCAGGATTGGAGTATTAAAATGATACTGATCCAACCTGTTTCAAAAATGGTAGAAGATAAGTATTTTTGACAAGCTGTCCCCAAGTACATATCACATCTAATAACAATACTGCTGGATGAGCCTGAGATAAACATGGTAACAAAATACAGCTGAAACATACATTTGCTTTATGTTAAGCCTGTGATTGTGATACAAATCTAGGGCCCAGTCCTGAGGATAGCTGAGTGCTTGCTATTTTTTCAAGGACCACATGAAGATAGAAAAAATGCTTTGTTCTAGCTGTTAACCACACTGATGGAGGATTTGTGTGTGCAGGGGAAAGAGACAATAGGAGCTGATGATCAAATACTAAAAAAATGCTTTGCATTTATGAAGTAAATTTCATCTTGGAGAATTCTGCAATTATCATTAAATATCAAAATCCTCCTGAAAGGCAGGTATACAGGGGATAAGCATCATTATCCCCCTTTTCAGATGGAAAGATTGAGGTATGGAGAGTTAAGTAGTTTGCCCAAAGTCACATGAGTGAGTCGGTGATGGAACAAAGTTAGTTTTGCAAATAGGAGGCAGTGCTCTGCTCTCATTATTAGGTCCCATTCTCTTCTGTTTTTAGAAGACAGTATAACCACTGTTTGGGTTCTTATTTACACAGGGATTTTTAATTCTGAATTCTTTAAGTGATCTTAAAGCAATATCTATTTACACATGTATATACAAAGGATCATACATGTGCACATCGTGAATCATTTTAAAGTATTTTAAATTGAAACCACTCCAGTTTCCCATGGTCAAAAATTAGATCTACCCAATCTTTCTGACCCCGAGTGTCTACCAGCTTCCCAAAACAAGATTAAAATATAACTTGACTCTAGAATGAATCAGCAGCAACAATCTCAGGGTGCTGAGTACAGTTGTCCCCTGCATCAGTAAAGGAGGTCTTTGGTTTCTGCTCTGTTGACTCGAGAATGGAGAAAATAAACTGGATTGATATTACAGTGCCACATTGCCTACATGTTGATGCCCATGGACCAAAATCAACTGCAAAGTCTAATTGAGGAAATATCTTGAACATCATCTAGCCACGTACTTAAAAATGGATGTCAGCTTATGATTATTTTAGTATGTAGTAAATACTTTGTACCCTAATCATCACATTTCTTTCACATCCCCTATGGTCTATTATGTAAAACTCAATAATGGCTCTTAACCTGTGAGACTAATGCCCCACCACTTTAGCATTCAGGCTGCAGGTTTACATCCACTACTTTACTCATTCATCAATACAGGGGCGGGCAATTATTTCGGGTAGAGGGCCACTTACTGAGTTTTGGTAAGCCATCAAGGGCTGCATGACAGGCAGCCAGGGGCAGATAAATATTAATTTTCTAAAATTTTTAAGGGCCCCACGGGCCAGCCAGAATGGCCTAGCGGGCCGCATCTGGCCTGTGTGTCGCATTTTGCCTGCCCCTGCATCAATACCTCTCCTGCTACAATGGACAGGTGTTTTGTACACTGCTGCCCTCTACTGGATGTAAAGTCACATTTGCTCATATGATCGTGACTTAAACTTTCCAGACTGTGGCATGGCTACAAAGAGTATAAACCTTGACACCGCTGCAACTAAAAAACTTTGCATGCTATCAAGTAGTAGACACCCTCTGTTTTCAGACTGGAGCTCATGTATTCAATCCTGAATGCTGCATGCAAGTAGCTTAGGCAAAAATTGAGATGTACATTTTTTCTCATGACACTAACAATAGTGCTTTGGACATTTAATCATCTGCCATCCAGGGAACACAAATTGCTTCATACACCTCCCTGAAGTATTAAGGAGTATAAAGGAAATGCTTTATCAGCCTTTCAAATGCCACAAACTCTGTGGCAGAAAGGATTAGCAATTTAACAACACATGGTCAGCAACATCACAATAATTTAGGTCAGGAAGTGAAGAAATACACAGCTTCAACTAGAACTTCAGGGGGAATTTTTGCAAAGTAAAATATTATGAGAGCTGAAATCCAGCTAAGCTGGCTGGAATTATTAACGCGCTACTCTTACAGAAGTGCTGTCAAACTTCTAATTGCTACAAATGTTCAGGACTTCAGTTTTAAGTCATCTGAACCTTACACCCTCTGGCAACATGCATTTCTACCATAATCATGTTGGGACTAAGTTCAGTACTAATACAGGGGAAGCATTTGTTACCAGTCATATAATATTAGAGAAAGTGTGAGAATGGCCTTAGGAGGTGCCAGTTTCTCTAACTCTCTATTCACTTCTTCTATTTGGTTCCTAGCAAAAAATACAGAAATCTTTTTTTTTTTTTTTTACACTACAATGTGCTGCCTCTGTGAATTACCAGCAAAGGGCTTTTAACATGTATGAGTATATTGGTAGTACCCTTATCTATAGGATTGACTCTGGTTTCATAGTTTCTAGGGTCCAAAGGGACCTGAAGAGATCATTAAGTCTGACCCCCTGCCCTGGGCAGGAATGAGTGCTGGGATCATAATACTCCAGCCAGATATCTATTCAACCTCTTTAAGACCCACAAGGTAGGGGATAGCACCACCTCCCTTGGAAGCCCATTCCAGAGCCTGGCAGCCCTAACCGTAAAGTATGCCTCCTGATATCAAGCCGGAACCTGCTCTCAATCAATTTGTGACCCGTTATTCCTTGGTTAGAATGTTACTTACTGAAATACCTCCATTACATCCTGCAGTGTCTATGTTTTCCTTTGAGGTTTCTACTCTAAATAGCCACATGGCCCCAGAATTGTTTCAAGCT